GTTTTCCAGATCAATTATTATTATTTTTTTCTCAGCAAAAAACGAATCATGGGTACGAATCAATGATAAACCCTTGGGGACCATTCTGTGGCATTAGATAATTTCCCCACTAGCATCTGAGCAGTTGCAGTGGACATGGGGATAAGAGTGTAATAGTGGAAGCCATTCAAAGCAAAATCCATGTTTAGATCTTCAACACTGTTTTGTCTCAGGGTAGATTTTTTTTTAGTAACATAATCAAGATGGAACATCAACTTTCCAATGTGCCTCAAATTGCTCTCACTGGGGAAGCTCTATAAATCAATCGGATATACTCCATACAAGTAATGAATGTACCAAAAATTACCGGGTGCTATTATGTGCCAGACCTCTACAATGAATTAAATTCCATGATGAATACAGCATTGTACCCACTTTGAAGGGATTTTCCATACGGTGGACAAATGCAGGTATTGCGTGAAACAAGAGGGCACTGGAGAAATACTGGTAACTGGGGGGGTTGGGGGAAACCAAGTGTGAGCAACTGACGGTGTTTCACAAAGCACTGCATGCCACTCTAGGAAACTTTATACACCTTAGCCTGCAAGGAACAGGGAGCCACTGAGAAGACATTTTCTGTTTTCTTTTTTCTTTAAGATTTATTTTTATTTGGGATATATCTTACAGAGATTAGGGGAGACAGAGAAAAGGATCTTACATCTGCTGGTTCACTTCTTAAATGCCCGCAAAGGCCATAGCTGAGCTGATGTGAAGCCAGGAGCTTCTTCTGAGTCTCCCACGTGAGTACAGGGTCCCAAGGACTTGAGCCATACTCCACTGCTTTTCCAGACCATAAACAGGGAGCTGGATAGGAAGTGGAACAGGCGAAACATGAATCCGTACCCATGTGGAATGCCAGTATTGCCAGCGGAGGATTAGCTTGTTACACCACTGCACAGATCCCAGCCCATGCTTAAGTTTAAATCATTCAGGTTTGGCCGTGGGGTTGGGGCAAAAGCAGCTCCCTGAAGTGTGGTGGCTGTGGGGGTGCCCCAGCCAGGCTGGACCCAATGCTGGGGACTCGGGCCAAAGTCACTGCCGCCAGGCGGTGACTGAGTCCTAGATTTTGGCAGCCAACACACCAAGTGGTGCCAGGCTCTGCCAGCTGGCTGCCTGGCGGCGAACTCTGGAGTTTTTAGGATATGTAATTGCTGCCTAGGGACATCCATGGATAAGGCCAGTGTGAGTGTAGGTGGGGGATGAATTCTGGGTGATTCCCAGCAACAGGGTCACGCAACTTTCTGGCAAGTGTGGGGACTGAGACCTGGTGATTTGGAGGGGAAAGTCCATAATATCTATTTGGGTCAGACTGATTCCCAGCCCACATGGGAATCCTGAGATGGGCTGTTAGCACAGAGCATCACTGACTGCCACACATCAGTTCACATGAAAGCTATGAATGGGGGTCTGTCTGGCAGGGCTAGGTGCCAGTACCTGACTGGGCGGTGGAACAGTGGACGTGTCATACTTGGCAGGGTCAAGATACTAACCAGCACAGGAAAGAACCAATTCCGGGGGTAGATTTGGTGGGGGAAGTATGGGTCCAACCCTGTGGAAATGCAAGTCCCGCTGGTTAGCTCGCTAGCTGGGGTGGCCATGGGCTAAGCTAGGTGTTACCATGGAACCTGCCATCACTTACGGGTAAAGGAACTGACAACAGTCTGGGCAGGTCACGGCAGCAGCACCTGAATGTGCATCCTAAAATAGGATTTGGGGTGGGCCGAGCTGCAACTGGAAGGGGGCGGACCGGGCAGGGCCGAGCAAACCTCAACTTACAAGGAAGAATAGAAATCAGGATGGAGCACAGGTCATGTTGAACTAGGCTCTTACATTGACCGGTCTGCATGAGGCAGGGATACTAGGCCACAGCATTGAAGGCAAGGCTGAGGCAGGTGAGGGGCTAAGCCAACCAGGTCACAGCAACCACTGGCACATGTGTAATCTAGGGCAGGGAATAGGCTTGGTTGGGGAGCTGTGAGAGCACACCCTTGCTGGGTTGGAGTTCCCACAAGAGAGTGTAGGGGCTGGAGTAGGGCCTGCGTTCTGGTCTGGATATGGCTGCAATCTCCCTAGGCACAAGTGTGAACTGGGGTTGGGTACACCTAGCCGGGCTAGATGCCAGCACCATCTGATGCTCTAGAAAACCTGAGTAGATGTAGAACGGACTAGGCTGTTATGGGGTGCAGCCAGTGATAGCCAGCACCCACTGACAGTGGGCAAATGAAATTTGGCTGTGTCCCCCTATCCTCTGTCCTGAAGGTGGGTCCTAATAGCAATGGAATGATAATTCCATCCTGAACCACTTCCCCTACATCTTAATTTAGCCAGGATATTGGATGCAGACTAGTCCAATTAGCCTAGGCATTTTTAGCTACAAGCCCAGTTCCTGTTCCTGTCCATCCCAATGAGCACTAATCAACTCCTTAGCCCACAACACTTAGGTATTCGCTCCTGCCCACCTGTGACTCACCTATCAACTGAGAGGGGATGGTATTGCATTGTCGTGTAACCACTCCCCTCACAAGCCCCTTTAAAGGGCCCGTGAAGCAGGGGCTTGCTCTGTTTCTGGTCAGGTGCTTCCGTTACTCTGGCACCTTGACTCTTGGCTGACCCAGGACAGGTAATCCCCTGAGCATAGTTCCTGTGTACTGCTTAGATGGGGCAATGGTTATAATAATGTTTCTGGTTTGTGTGATGTCAGGAGTTCCAGGAGGGGTGAGGCCTAGCAGTAGTGGAATGTGGGCAGAGAAGCCAGGGAAAGGTGAATGTCTGCAGCTTGTAAGTGTGTCCAGGTTTTTTGTGAGTGTGTCCAGGTTATTTATTGCATGTCTCTTAGGATAACTTATATTGTTGGGGAAGCTGGGACATAGGTCTTCAGCTTAATGGATGGACTTAAGGATAATGACAATTTGTTCCTTTTGGGATTATGATTGGTTGGACTGCCGTATGGACTTGTGATTTGCTATTATGCTCTATTGTCACCAAGTTTGATTAATAAAAACTCCTTAATAAACCTTAGACATGTCTGGCGTGATCTCACTCACACCCCGCAACAAGGCTAGGTCTCTGCCCCTACTGAGCCATGTGTGAGCAGTGTCTGGGTATGGACGAGCCTTGGTTGGGCTGAAACATCCAATTGTAAAAACCGGAATGGACTGAAGGCTAGCAAGAAGGGCTGGCCCATGGACCCACCAGTATGCGCAAGATCTGGCACAGGGAGAGGTTCTGATGGAAGAGCTTGGGAAACTTCTCTGTTGGGACACAGTCCCTGCAAGTGAGCACAAGAACCACAAGAGGGAGCAACACAGCCAGGCCAGAGAAAGATACCCACGGGCATGCATTTGGCATAGGTCGGGGGGGGAGGGGGGTAGACCAGGCTGAACTAGTCTACATCACTCACTAGTGAATCCGAGCACCAGAATGGAGTGTGGGTCAGGACAGGTTCGGTCATGACACAAACCAGTGCACATTATGGAATGCCAAGGTGTGGTGAGCCATACCAGATGTGGCAGCAGTGCCCAAACAGCACACGTGAGAACCAAGGGGCAAAGCTGGCAGCGGCAATGTGGGCTCCCCTGCTGGACAACCACTGCCACTGGAGAGTGTGAGTTGACCAGACCAGGCAGGGCTAAACAGCTGTGAGCCTCATATGTGCAAGATCAGGGAAAAGCCGGGTTGGGCTGACTATTCCGACTGGTGCAAGCAAAACTTAGAGTGGGTGAGGGCTGGTTGGACTTTGCCACAGCATCAGCTGGCAAAGGCTGGCACTGGGGGCTAATTAATCTGCAGAACAACCTAGAGAGTGCTTGATCCGGGAGTGGGAGTGGCCTAGGAGGGAAATAGTGGGCACCTCCCTCTTGGGTTACCACTCCCACTGGAGAGCATGAAAACCAGGACTGGGTCAGCGTGGCTTAGACAGAAAGGCATCAGCCAGTAGGCATCAGCTGAATAGTAGAGTTGGTTGAGTTGAACTAGGCTTCAATGCCCATTGACATGTACGAGAGCTAAATGGGATGTGGGACAGACTGAATAAGTACATAGTGGCAAGCATGGGAACCAGGGTCGGGAGCAGGCTTGGTGGGATTTATAGGAGTCGCCCCAACTAAACTGAAGCTCCCACTGGTTTGCGTGAGGGCAGAGTATGAAGTGAGCAGGATCGGGCTGGACTACAACAACCATTGTGAAACAGAACTGACCCAGCAATTGCAATGATCAGCATGTGCAAAAGCTGATTGGGGTGACAGATGGTGCTGGACCCTGTACTGGCAAGCACACACAAGAATCAGGTTTGGGATCACCTCAGATGAAGTTTCTTTGGAGATCACTCCAAGTGAACAGCTGATCTCAGAACCCCAACCATGAAGAGACTGTCAGCCAGTGGACTCTGAATAGATTTCATCGCGACTGGAACAGCGAGAGTGGCAGCAATTCAGAACTGTTGAACTATCAAAACTGCTTGATCAGGACCCTTGAAGCATGCCCCACATCTGGGACCTGGGATGGGTGGGAGGCTGGGTGGGGCTTCTCCCTTTGTTTCTCCCCTGACCCCAGATACAAGGGGAAAAAAATATTAATGTGGAAACAATGGTATTGCCCATTTTCCTGTAGCCCTTGACTCTTTGTACCCTAATCAACTATGTAAGATTATTTAAAAACATTAATTTAAAAAAAGTTTAAATCATTCATGTCCACCCAGTGTTCCGAAAGAAACAAATTACCATCTTCAGCTGCCTCCACGACCCAGTCCGACTAGCAGGTAAGACTTCGCCCAAATCTAGCGTTACTAAACACTAAATCCAAAGCTCCCATCACCGACCGGACTCTACCTGCGCAGTAAGGCTCCTCGCTCCCCTCCCTGCCCTGCGAAAGTCACGTGGTCTCGGTAGCTGGTAGGAAGCGGAAAGTTAGCTAGGAGTAGAAGGAAGCCCGCCCCGGAAGTCCCGCCCATCTGTAGAGGTTCTTTGCGGAAGTGGCGCTGTCTGTCGCGGGTGTGATGGCTTCAAGGTTACTTCGGGGAGCTGGGGCGCTCGCTGCCCATGCCCTTAGGGCCCGTGCACCTCATGGGGCGGCTGTCGTGCGCTCCATGGCTTCTGGAGGTACTCGGCGCCGCGGCGGCAGGGACCGTTGTCGTTCTCCAATGCCGGGGTGGTTGGTGCTAAGGGCGGGAAGCGGGGCGCGCTGTAGGCCCGGGGTGACCCCGTCAGGGCCGCGGGGTGTCCGGGGGGCGTCGTGCTGTAATTCGGGGCTTGCGCTGCCGCCGCCCACCTAACAGCCAGAAGGCTCGTCAGGGGTGACCTTGGGGGGGAGTAGGCGTGCAGGGATCGCCAGCCGGGGTTCCCGCCCCGCGTCCACCCTGAGCCGAACGGAGGGTGGGCTGGAAGGTGGGCAAACTTGGGGTTCGTGACTCGGCCGTACTGCGATGAGGACCAGGGATGCAGAGAGAGCCCCGGAGCGCCTCAGGCAGAGGCCGCCGTGTGGCGTTTGCCCTTCTGGATCGTTCGAGAACGTAATCTGTGTGTCTTCTTTCAGGGGGTGTCCCGACCGATGAGGAGCAGGCCACGGGGCTGGAGCGGGAGATCATGATGGCCGCGCGGAAGGGCCTGGTGAGCAGCCCCCACTGCCTTCTGTGTCTTCCGCGGGGCTCGGGAAGAGCCCTGTTCTTGCTGGGTGCCTTTGATCCAGGATGCCTGGCTTGTGGCAGGAGCCCCCTGAGCTGAGGTCCTGCAGGCTGGAGGCCTGTGCGCCTAGTGGTGTAATTCTTTTTTTTTTTTTTTTGCAGGATCCCTACAACTTGTTACCCCCAAAGGCAGCTTCTGGCACCAAGGAAGACCCTAATTTAGTCCCTTCCATCACCAACAAGCGGATAGTGGGCTGCATCTGTAAGTCCCTGCCTGATTTCTTTATGAGCTGCTTCACGCCTTGTTTGTGCCTGCACCCATGTGTTTGAGACAGTATGAATGTAAAGCACGTGTGATGTATGTTTAAGTAAGTTGTTCCAAGGGCCCCGGCCTTCAATCCTGGGTAGTTATCCTGACTGAGAAGAGACAGGGGAGAGGCGGCAAACCTGGCTGAGTCCCCTGGAGGTGCATCAGGAACATCTTCCTGGGCCTTCCCTATGAGGCACTGGGCATGTGTCCCAGCATGGAGCCTGCTTTGAAGGTCTTCGTAGGCAAGGGAATTGTTTGAACTCACAGTGACCTTGGTGTGAGTTCAGTGTAGACGCAGGCAGACGCAGGGCCTGTTTCTTCACCCAGAGCCTGGAGAGGAGAGTCTGAGCTGATGTCCTCAGATGTCAACTTGGATGACTTGTAGCCACCTTTTGTCCTTTCAGGTGAAGAGGACAACAGTGCTGTCATCTGGTTCTGGCTGCACAAAGGCGAGGCCCAGCGATGCCCTAGCTGTGGAACCCACTATAAGCTGGTGCCTCACCAGCTGGCCCACTGAGTCCCTGCACTAACTGAATCAAAATGTGCTGTGAAGTTTCTTCTTCCAATAAAGGTTAGCCATTGTGTTGGCCCTCCTCCCATAGGTGATTGGTCTTCTATTTTTGGGTAGGTGTGGATGATTTTTATATGAGAAAATGATATCTGCTAATGCCAGCTTACTACCCACTTATAGTATGCAACCAATGTGTACTGATTAGATTAAATTTGAGTAGATTAACAACGCATAACACCAATGATTGGGACTACTTAATACAGGGAAAAGGGTGGGCTGTAGAGTCAGACTCCATCCTTTGTGTCAAAGGATTGGTTATGTCTATAGAAAAATAAACATCTTGGAAATAACCTAAGAGCCTGGCTGCGATATTAGATCCTCACGGTGTCACAGATTGAGTGGCATAGTGACAACAGGTACAGATCTCAGATTGAAAGTATGAGTTCATTGGGGGATCCAGAGTGACATTCATAATGTGGAATCTAGAAACCAATGGCTAGGATTCTCCAAATAAATGATCAGACATGTGGATATTGGAAAAAAATAGAGAACCTATAGGGTGAAATAGATGGTTTGTGTCTTGGTTGTTCCGCTCATACTGTAGCTCCCTACTAGTGAGCTTGGGAAAAGCAGCAGGAGATGGCTCAAGTGCTTGGGCTGCTATGCCCAAATTGGAGACTTGGAGGAAGCCCCTGCCTCGAGCCTGGCTCAGCCCTGGCCATTGCAGCCACTTGAGGAGTGAACCAGCAGATGGAAGATTCTTTTTCTCTCCCTCTCTCTGACTCTGATTTTGAAAGGAATGGATAATGCTTTAAAGAAAAAACAAAAACCTGTAAAGTGGGAGAAAAGTGGGATAATGTGGACTTTAGATATTTGACATTTATTAAATATCATTTATTAAATTTTTAGTTGTGTTTATGGAGTTTTTATGCTTCAGAGATACTTTTTTTTAAAAGATTTATTTGTTGGAATGAAAAGGCAGATCAGATTTATGGAGAGAAAGGCAGAAAGCTTCATCTGCTGTTTCAACTCCAAATGACCACAACAGCCAGAGCTGAGCTGATCCAAGGCCAGGAGCTTCTTCCAGGTCTGCCACCACAGGTGCAGGGTCCCAAGGCTTTGGGCTGTCCTCCGCTGCTCTCCCAGGCTATAGCAGGGAGCTGGATGGGAAGGGAACCAGCTGGGACATGAAGGAGTGCCCATAAGTGATCCTGACACTTGCAAGGTGAGGATTTAGCCATTGAGCCATTGCACCAGGCCCATCAGAGACATGGGAGTAAGGGAAAAGGAAACTGGATCACTTCAGCCACTGTTTTAAGATAACCTTGGACAAGTCAGAACTGTTACATTTTGTCTTAAGTTCAGCCAGAGTTGGCTTCGGTTGATATCTTCATTGATTCTAGCTAGATTTTCAATTTGAACTCTGAGTCTGTCTTGGCTCATGCTGAAGAGATAGTAAGGCTGCTTCCATTCCTTGCCTTCAGTCATTGTCTCTGCTTGTAGGTGATCCCCAGCCATGGCCTGCCACTGCAGGAAGGACAGCTCTAAATAGTCACGTATTAAAATTGACTTAAATGCTGGTCTAAGAATTTCCCAATAATTTTGTCCTGAAGATTGGTCTGCTACTATTGCTTAGACTCCCTATCTGGCTCTCTAGAACTTCTTTTTTCTTTATTTTTCTTTTAAATGATGTATTTTGTTTCAAAGGCAGTTCTAGGGAGAGTGAGGGAGACAGAGAGCTTCAGCCCCAGTTCACTCCCCAAATGGCTGCAGTGGTTGAAGCTAGGCCAGGCTGCAGACAGCAGAAGGGGGCTTCTTTCAGGTCTCCCACAGGGGTGCAGGGTCCCAAGGCCTCAAGCCATCCCCTACTACTTCCCCAGATCATTAACTGGGAGCTGGGTCAGAAGTGGAACATCAGGGATTCAAATTGTGACCCTTGTGGGATGCTGGGGCACTCAGGCCGAGGTTTAACCTGCTACACCATGGCACTGGTCCCCGTCTTCCCCTTACTTATTTACTTACTAATTTCTAAAAAATATTGTTTCCTACTTTTTTTTTTGTTAGATTCAGTTATTCAATTTGAAATTCAGAGTTACAGAGAAAGGGGAGGAAATCCTCTTTTAGCTAGTTCATTCCCCAAATAGCTGTAGTGGTCACAGCTGAGCTGATCTCTCACGTAGGTGCCAGATCCCAATGATTTGAACCATCACTGCTGCTTTCCTAGGTCATAAGCAGGGAGCTGGATTGGGAAGTGGAGCAGCCAGGACTCGAACCTGAGCTCATATGGGATGCCACTGCCACAAACAGGATCACCCTACAACAGCATGCTGGCCTCATCTCAATGATCACATTTCTGTCTCCAAGGTAGATTTACAGAGGAGAGACAGATTCCATTGGCTAGTTCACTCGCCAAATGACACACCAGAGCTTATTCTAGGTCTCCCCTGTGGCTTCTGCTACTTTCCCAGGCATATTAGTAGGGCCCTGCATTGGGAGTAGAGCAGGTGGGACCCAAACCCAGCAGTCCCAGGTGGATCCAGCACCGCAGGTGGAGAGCAACCCACTAAGCCGGGGTGCTGGCCCTATATCTTTTCATTCCCCACATCACTGATCTAGTTTGTCTTTTTTTTTTCTCTTTTACTTATTTTTTTACAACCAAGTTCTTTCTGCTTTTCCCTCTTTAAAAAAAATTTTTTTTAATATTTATTTTTCTTGGAAAGGCAGATCTACACAGAGAGGGAGATATAAAGATCTTTCATCTGTTGGCTCACTCCTCAAGTGGCTGCAATGAGTGTAGCTAAGCTGATCTGAACCAGGAGCTGCTTCTGTGTCTCCCACACGGGAGCAGGGTCCCAAGGCTTTGGGCCGTCCTCTACTGCTTTTCCAGGCCACTAGTAGGGAACTGGGTGGGAAGTGGAGCAGCTGGGACATGAACCAGTGCCCCTAGGGGATCCTGGTGCATGCAAGGTGAGGACTTCAGCCACTAGGCTACTGTGCTGGACCCCCTCTTTTAAAAAATTTAACCAGCTCACATCCAAAGAAAACGATTCCAAGTCCTTTTTTTTTTTTAATTTATTCTTATTGGAAAGGCAGATCTGCAGAGAAGGAGAGACAAAGATCTCCTATCTGGTAGTTCATTGCTTAAATGGCCATAATGGCTAGAGCTGACCTGATCCCAAGCCAGGAGCTTTTTCTGCTTCTCCCATGTTGGTGCCCATCCTCTGCTGCTTTCCCAGGTCACAAGGAGGAAGCTGGATGGGAAGTGGAGCAGCTGGGGCATGACCTGGCACTCATTTGGGGAACTGGCATCCATATAGGATCCCAACACTTGCAAGGTGAGATAAATAGCCATCATTGAGCCATTGTGCCAGGCCCTCCAGTACATTTCTAGACTGGTTGGCAGAATGATCCCTACAAGATGTCCACATCTTATGTGGAATCTGTAAATGTGCTCCGTCATGGCCAAAAGAAGTTAGAAGTTGCTGGCGGAATTAATGTTGTTAATCAACAGACCCAAAATAGAGCGTCCTTGGTTATCCATGTGGGCACAGTGAGCACAAAGGAAGACAGAAGAGTCAGAAGGAGATGTAGTGTTGTTGGTTTTGAAGGTGCAGGAACCGGCCACAAACCAAGGAGTACACACGGAGCCACTTGAAAACTGGAAAAGGCAAGCAGATTGTCCTTACCTGAAGTTCCCAGCAAGGAGTGAATCTGTGGCATTCTGATTTCAGCCTAGAGAGATCCATGTTAGAACTAGAATAATTTGTGGGTCTTGGATGTTTCTGTTCAGTTTTGCCTGAAGGACCGACAGAGATGATCTGCTGGTTCACTTCCCAGCAGTCTGCAGTCGTTGGCCATGGCTCAGCCAGGAGCTCAGAACTCAGTTTGGGCCACCTGTGAAGGTGGCAGGGACCAAAGTGTTTGGGCCCTCACATTCTGGCTCTCACATTGTGTGTTAGCAGGAAGCTAGAATCAGTGCAAAACCTTAAGACACTTTGATACAAGTGTCATATCATATCATATCATAACCACTGAGCTAAGTACCCATCCCAATTTGTATTGTTTTAAGCCACTAAATGTATCAGAAGTTTTCTATAGGAAACTAATACACAGCCTAGAAAATTTCATCTCTCTCCTGTATCAGTGGTTTTAAGATTTCATTGTACATCAGAATCACCTGGGAATCTGCCAGGAATCCTTGTGCCAGACCACACCCAGCCCTTTAATGCAGAGTGTCTGGGGTTGGGAGTCAGGCATCAGAATTCGGACCTTGATCCATTGCCTTCCCAGGCCATTACAGAGGAAGCCGAGTTGGAAGTATGGAGTAGCCTGGGTTTGAAGCGGCACTCTGATAACAGGGTGCCGGCACTGGCAGTGGTGGCTTAACTTGCTGCTCCACAGTGCCAGCCTCTCAATGGATTATCATCTTTGTCCGTCATTATTTACTTTTCGATGTTGAATTTGTTCATATTTGGGCAGTGGGAACCTCTGCTGGTTTACTCCCCATTTGCCGATAGTGACAGGACTAAGCCAGGCTGAAGTCAGGCTCTGGGAATTGAGTCCAGGTCTCCCATCTGAGCCATCACTTTCTAGCGTGTGCACTGATGGGGAGCTGGAATCACAAGCAGAACCTGGGCCTTGAGCTCGGACAAGGATATGGAATTCCAGCATCTGGAGCTCCACAGGCCAAATTCCTGTCTCTCCTGTGGCCTTCTGATGCGTCTCTGAGTGCTGCTTCTGTGGCAGAGATTGTTCCAGGCTCCTCGTCCAAACTGTTAGTAAACCCATGAGGTAGATGCTATTATTATCATCACCCTATTAGACATGGGGCAACCAAGTGAATGCTCAGGATCACGTAGCAGCTTGTGGTAGACCAGCCCATTTAGCTGTGGAATTTGAGCTCTGTTGTCCCTCATTTTTTTTTTTATTTCAAAATTTTAGACTTGGACAATTTGTAAAATTACACAAAGTTCTTGTTTGTTCTTCTACCATTTTCCTTAATGTTAACATCTGACATTACCCTAGAGTAATTACTGAAACTGGGACATGAACCTGGGTACAGTGTTTCTCAATCAGCAGTAGAGGGTTCTGCACGCTTTCCTGGAAAGGCCCCCTTCTACCCCGCACTTCATGTTGCACACGGTTGTCATACCTTGTTGATGTTTGATCTCCATGACCTGCCACTCCTGAACAAGACAACTGGTCTGTTAGTCTGTTGCTGCCCTCAGTGTGAGTTTGCTGGCTACAGAAAATGCAAAATTACAGAGGTGAAATTGGACCCCTTTTAATGAACATCAAGGTCCTTATGATGATGATGCAGGCTCTGGTAATTTGATAAAGGTGGTGTCCACTAGGTGTCTCCACAGTAGTTAATACCTTTCCCTCCAACTACTAAGTAAGGGCCTTGTGGAGAGATCTTTGAGACAATAGAAAATCACTTCTGCCCACTAATTTTTGCATTCATTCACAAAATTGACTTATAAGTAGGCATTTAATGTAACTGAGTGCTGCTTGCACCCCCCTATCCCATATTGGCATGCCTGGACTCAGGTTCTGGCTGCGCTCTTGAATCCAGTTTCCTGCTAATCAGCACCCCTGGAGGTAGCAGGTAAGAGTCCAAGTGCCAGGGCCCTGCCACCCACACAGGAGATGCAGATGGCATTCCCAGTTTCTGGCTCAGTCTGGTCCAGCCCCAGCTGCTGTGCACATTTGAGGAGTGAACCAGTAGATGGAAGACTGCTTGCTTCTTTCTCTGCCTTTCAAATAAATGAAAGGCTCTTTTAAAATAAGTTTTAAAAAATAATTTATTATTAACTGATTATGAAAATTGTACACATTTATGAGATACCATATCATGTTTCAATACATGTATACGTTGTGTGATGTCCAATGAGGTAAACATAACTCTTCAAACATTCCAGATTTAGGGTTTTTGTTCTAATTTTTAGAAAAATATACAGTATATTATCGTAACAAATTATTACTATGACAGTACTGTGGTGTTCATCCGTTGGTGAGTTACTCTTTTCCATTATTCATTAATCGCAGTTCTGCCCAAAGGGAAAGCTGTCCCTTCAGTATAGACTTCTGATTTATCCATGGCTTATATATAATCTATTATAAAGCTCCTTCAGGTTGGTTCTTGCGTACCTTAGACAAGACTTCCCCCAGCTGAACTTCCCCCTCCACTTTTAAGTTCGTGTTTCCTTACTTTAGGATACCATGATATTCCAGACTTGTACTTTTCTGTCCCAGGGAACTAAGGAATGAGATTTAAGAATCAAGATCCATGTGTCCTTTGTGCTGTTAGAGGGCGCCACTGCTTCCAAGCCCTCTCAGCAGCAGGGCCTTGATTTACACTTTCCTAAGCTGGGCTCTCATACAGATGTGCATTTATTTCCATGTCTATATGTTCTATAGTTGGTGCCACCCCCAGTTCAAATCCAGTGCAAGGTTTGTTCCATCCACTTCCCTTCGCATCTATCATTTTTCTCTCTTGTTACAAGAGTCCTTTATCTATTCTTGTAGGAAGTGGGGTGAAGGTGCAGGTGGGGACATTGTTGGCCTTGAGCTTTCTGCTGCAAAGGGAAGGGATTTTGACAGACACATGGGAAGGTCATTCCTGTGTGAGGGGAGCAGCAAGCAAAGCCAGAGCCAGTGATGGGTGGGAGAGACAGATCATAAAGAGCCTGAATCAGATGCCAACGTGTATGGATCATGCAGGTGACTTTCCCAACGTCACATCAATTGTTTTTCCCCAGGCAGAGGACAACTGCCTCATATCTTAGAGGAGGAGGTGGTAAGATTATCTGAGCTTTCAGTATGAGAGCAAATGGATTACGTGGGCTATAAGAGCTGGGGTCATGAGCTGGGGTGGCACTGATTGCAGTAGGAAAGAAAGAACAGATGGGAAGGCAACTTAGGATCATCAACCTGGCAACTGACAGAATATGGGGGAGGGAAGGTGCAGGCAGCAGCCAAGTGATGGGGGCGACATCACTTCCCAAGCTGGGGTGACAGGGAAGAGAAGTCAGTAGGAAGAGTGTTAGTGTAAACTGGTTTCCCAAAGGCAGGTGGGACTCTGCTCTCCCTCATACCTGATGGCCTTGCTTTTGCACTCTCAGTCTCCACCAATCTTGACTGCCCTCCAACAACAACCTGCTGTGGCTGTCTGCTTGTCACCTGGGACCCAGCAAGGAATCCTCTTCTAGGTCAGCTTGTTTGGTTTATCTCACTTTGTTCAAAGGGTCCATAGCCCCCTGGCCCTAGGCATTTCTTTGAGCCCTAAACTCTGCAGGTAAACCAACCCCCAGACCCTTTGCCAGTCTACCTGCCCCACACATGCGTCAACATGTCTGTCCTCCTGGTCTCTAAACTCTGCAATAGAACAGCCTCATTTGCCCTTTTCCCCTGACCTGTGCCCTTCATCAGGGGTCAGGCATAGTGCAGGTGCTTTAAAGCACGCATTCTCCAGCCTTGCTTACCACAGCTCTGCCTGCCTCCTCACTTCCTCCCTGAGATCCCAGCTCATCTCCCTCATCACTTCCTCCTCTGCCTCCTTGGGACATGTCTCAACTAAGTGGCCTACAACACTGACAATGCCTGGCTGTGAGCGTCACCTTGGTACTGTCAGAGTGGCACACAGAGGCACCTGCTCCAATGGCAGGTAAGGACCTGGACGCATGCAGGCTCTCCAGGAGCCAGGCAGATGGAGGCCACACTGTTCTCTGCTTCCCCCCAGTGGTGGTGGACCAGACAGCAGCCAGGAGGTAGCGAGGCTGGGGAATTCCACTCCAGGGTGACAGCGGCCCAGTCAGCTGCTTTCTCTGACAGTCTCCAGGGATGGATGAGCCAACAGAGCACAAAGAACCACAAGAAAACAGCCACACATGGGCCTTGTCCTTAATTCTCACTATGATGATTTCTAAAAAAAAAGTTTTTTTTTCCCTAGTCAACTGTGTTTAAATTATTGTACTAAATTATCTGGAAGAGAAGGTTGGGCCCTGGCCACAGAGCAAGCAAAGACCTCTTTCCTGGAAGAGGAGCAAGAAGGAAATAGTTCCCTTCTGCCCTGGGTCTGATGCCATTAAGTGGCTTCTCTTCCAAGAATGAAGATCAGGAACCCATTCCCATCCACGGGTGAGAGGAATAGAGGACAAGGGGCAGCCCATCCGGGAAGAGCTCTGACAGGAAGAACAGGACACCCTCCCCAGTGGGGGCTGCCTGTGGCTCTGAAGGCCTGACCCTGGCATGACATCCTTACTGGGGACAGGACTGCCTGGTACTCACTCTATTGAGGGCGTTTGGCCAGGATGTGAAAAGGTTTGGGCTGCCCTAATGGGTCAGGGAGAAGGGGGGTGGCGTGAGATTCACTACTGCACTTCATCACGCCTGCTGGAGCTGTTGGCTGCTCCTTCAACACCCCCCCGCCCCACTCCAGGTATCCAGACACTCTGCCCTTGGTGGGAATGTGTCAGAGGAAATGGGATGTTTGGCTATCTGGCCTTGGACTTCAGTGAAGCACCCCAAGAATTAGAGCAAGGAACCACAGGCTTAATTAATAGGTCCTGTGAAGGAAGACACCCAGACCAAACCAACACTAGGCTCCCCAGTTGCTATGTTCCAGTGACGACTATCGTCCATGCAGCTAAACATTACTCTGTGTGTGTATGTGTTTGTGCATGCGTGTGCACGCATATGCACATTTGCAGGGGAGCATAGCTACAGCACCATCCCAGGTTCTGGATATGCAAGGGATCCTCAGCCTAGATAGGAGCCCAGACCAAAAACCGTTCCTGGCTCTACCCCTTTGCTTGAAGTCTTCTCCCAACACTCCACCCTTCCAGGATGCTAGAATGTTTTGCGGTGGATAGCACGGGAACCATCCTCTTCGTATTCCTTTTTGGATACCCACATCTTCTTAAATGTGTCCAGCGAGGCCAGGATGGAGCCACTGTGAGGATGGAGGGGCACATTCCTATGGACCTGTGTGGGCCAGGCCAGCTGCCCTTCCTGGGCAATAAGAGTCCTATTTCCTTCAGTTGGGAGGGAAAACCCACCTGCTTCTATATGCCTGGACTGGCCCTAGGCGCGGTCTCCTCCCCATGCCACCCACGCTCCCACTTGAGTCCCGCCTTACCCGATCCATGTGGAATACAGCCGTTCCTGCGGGGCTGAGATCTAGAGGGAGCAAGCAGCCATGTAACTACCTGGGCCCCACATGGTGGCCACCCTCCAGCCCAGGCCCTGAAGCCGGACAGCAGGGGCACTGGTTGGAAGGAGTAGGGCTGGTAGGCATGGAAGTGATGGGGGTCTGTGGGCAGCAGGTCAAGGTTGCCCAGTGCCCCGCCCCCCCACCATGCCCCAGGGACCACCTCCCATAACCTACCTTGATTTTGATGTCCTTTGGAGCAAGCCTCTTCACCTCACTTAGTAATCGGTCGCCGAAGCCTGTGAAAGTAAGACCGGCAGAGTTGAGGGCCGTCTCTCACCTCCCTGCTCCTGTCTTTAATCCTCCGTAGGATCAGGGTGGAGTGAGCCCACTCAAGCCCCAGCAGCCTGGATGCAGGTGAGCTGGGCTTTCCCAGGCACTCCTTGCCTGGCCTCTGCTCCTTCCCATTCAACAGTCTCCAGGTAAATCCTAGACCTCATGGAAAGGTTTAACCATAGATAAAATTCCAACCCTAAGAAAAACCCAAAAAACAAAAATAAAATCCTAGCTCACCAAGCACGAAAAAAGCCAAGAGAAAAAGGGCCATGTCCTGGCACTAAGGGGTGTGGGATGCAGCTTCTGAGGGCTTGGCTGCTCTTGGTCTCAGGTTGAACCCTGGTACCTTTGAAAAGTGTCGAGCCGCCCGAAAGTACGATGTTGGCAAACAGCGTCCGGCGAAGGTCCAGGTCGGACTTGTGGATGGCGAAGGCCAGCACCTCATGGAGCCCTTCACTCTCATCACCCACCAGGTCCGGCTGGAACAACAGCTCGGGAGCCCGGAAGCGTGCAGGCCCTACCTGTGGAGTACAGGATTGAAGCAAAGGGGTTCTAGGGAAGCCAGCTAGCCAGCCAGCCCCATGTTGCCAGGAGCCGGAGCCTGGGGCCCAGGCCTGGGCACTTACATCCAGCGTGCTGCCATCTGGCAAGGTGTATTGCACCTTCTCTGTCTCCAGAGCCTCATCCTTCTGTGGGTTGATGGATAGGTAACATGCTCGCTGTGGGGGAGGGGGAGGGACACAGCTCTCAGCCTACTGCACCTGGGACACCCACAGCCTGGGGCTTCACCTCACGCCTGGCCCCACCTCGGGCCCACATCCCCAACCCCCTCTTCACCTCTTTGATGGTCCGTACGATCTCGAACTCAGCTGAGGTGTGAAAGTCGGCCCCTTCTTTGCGTAGTAGTAGTCGCAGGTAGCGGGACACGTCACGGCCAGCGATGTCTACCCGCATGATGGAGTGCGGCATGGCAAAGCCCTCGTAGATGGGCACGGCGTGAGTGACCCCATCCCCTGAGTCTAAAACCACTCCCGTCGTGCGGCCTGTGGCATACCTGTGACCGGGTCAATGTCTCCTCACCTCAGCCACTGAGGCAGGGGGACCCCCACCCTCCTCTTTCCCTGGGACAGCTGCATGATTGCATCTGAAAGGGGCATCCAACAGGAGGCTTGCGAACAGGAGGACAAGGACTGGGGCTGGGGGCACTCACAGACTGAGCACGGCCTGCATGGAGATGAACAGGGCCGGCACATTGAAGGTCTCAAAGAACACCTCTGCTGCCTTCTCCCGGTTCTTACTGGGGTTCAGCGGGGCCTCTGTTAGCAGGACAGGATGCTACAAGAGAAGCTGAGAGTCATGAGCATGCGCAGATCCTTCAGAGGATCCCTCTGGACAGCCAGCCCTCTCATATCTGCGAGCACAGGCAACTGCAGCCTCTGGGAAATTCTAGCAGGTAGCCACCCACTGCACACCTGCACACAGACACACAAAGTGAGGGCTACAGGCTAACAGGGAGAGAGTAAAGGGGGCGCCCCAGTCAGGAAGGAAAGGAGGACGGTGAGAGGGCACAGGCAGGAGAATTGGGAGTCCAGCAGAAGGGCTTGGCTGGTCACATACCTCCTCGGAGAAGGTCTGCAGCTGGTCCTTGGAGTACACGTACTGCCAGATGCGCTCCATGTCATTCCAGTCTCGCACCATGCCATGCTCCATGGGGTAGCGGATGGCCAACAGCCCCCGATGCTCCTGCAGGAGAAGGGAGGCCCCTCACTGTATAGCTGTTTCCTGTCTCCCCATGCCCTAAGTGGAACCTGAGCCCCCCACCCTAGTGGAGTCCTGATCTCAGATAAGCTCTTGCACACTCACTACCAGATGTTCTTCCCTTGCACACTGCCCAGCTCCCTCCTCTTGCACTGTAGGTCTGGCAATACAAACCCTCTAGTGGCTTCAGGTCACCTGGGCTCATTGGTCCTCAGGGAGTGTGGCTGGGTGGGTATAGCTGCTCTCATTCCAGCCCCTACCGCCTACAATGGCTGCCTGCACAGACCCAGTGCCTCTGCTAGCGGCATCCCTTCTTGCTTTGAGCACCACATGGCTTCTCAGCTGCAGCTCCTACTGACCCCACCTGTCTCATCCACCTGCCCTCTCTGGCCCCTGACTGTGCTACCTGGCTGCCTACACACGAGCCCAAGCTCAGCTTGCTCTGCTCCCCACGCTCCACTCTGACTGCTATAGATAGGAACTGATTCTAGGCAGGCCACCTCATCCAGAGCATACAAGGCAGACCCCATGGCCAGCCCTGGTCACACCACCATCTGATTCCTGAAGCACTGTTTGAAATCAGCTCTTTCCTCTGTGGCTTCACATGGCTGCTGAGACAGGACACAGGAAGTTCTAACTATGTTCCCAAGCTGAGGAACCTTCCCAGCCCTTCCTGTGAAGGGGACTTGGCAACAGCCAGCACTCACACAGCTGGAGCAGGCAGGATGCTTCTCAACACCAGCCAGACTGCCTGTGATGGAGGACCCTGCAGCCAAGGGCAGGCAGGCTCCGTGGCATTACCTCTGCTTTGGGTCCGATGAAGAGGTCCCCTTCCAGGGCGCCAGCCATTACCCGCATGTGCTTAGGTCGCCCCACACTGCAAGGACAAGACAATCAGTCTGTGGAGAAGGGTATGTGGCTGAGCTTCAAGTCCTCCTGCCACTCCCCAGGCACAAGGATGTGGTCTCTGGGAAGTGCAACTTACAGCAGGGACAGGAAGTGCAAGGTCAGATGGGAATGGCTCATCCTCCTGGAGAGGGTTAAGCTTCAGAGCCCTGTGTGAGTTGCCCAGCCCTGACGGGGCAGCCTTCTGCGGCCACTGTGATTCAGCCCCTGGTCTTGACCTCAGAGGCCTGGTTGCCATCATTGTTTCTACCTCAGGAAGCTGGGCTGCAGTCCCTGCCCCTTTGAGTGCCCCTTTCCCTTGTCAGGGCCTCCAAAAAGAGATGCAGGCCTTGGAATCGGAGGGTGCTCAGAGCAAAGCCAAGGCTTCCAGGGCGCTCTGCACTGCTCTGATCCCAGACCAGCCTGGAGTTCTTGGTACAGCTGACCAAAATCCCAAAGCCTCCAGGATTTGGGGGAAACACTCTGGGGGAAACAGCCTAGAGTGGCCCCAGGACAAGGCCCTCTGGCTTGTGTACCTCCTGCTGAGTCCCAACTCCCCTAGTAAGCACTTCACAGGGAGAGCCTGCCCCCAACTGAAAGGAAACCTTTCAGAGAATGATAACATTTCCAGGGAGGAGCAGGGAGCTGTGTGCTTCCGGTCCCTCAGCTCCAAGTTGAGGTCTCCCCTAGGAGTGCACTTTTATTGTTGCTGCCACTATTGCCACGCCCAGCCCTAGGGGAATACTGCCTGCTTCCCATCTTCCCTGGTTCCAGAGGAGAAAATGAGCAATTCCCAAGATGAAGGGGGTGGGGACAAGGGACCCAGCAAGCACTGGTCCTTTCAGAGCCACGCCAACCTCATAACTGTATTTCTCTAAGACAAAAGCTGTGACACAGGGCCTATGTTCTCATGAGGGGCTAGGCTGCTCTCTGGCTGGGGGTATGAGTTTGAGGGGGGGTGGGAGGAAGGCACAGGTGCACTTACTAGTTTGGGAAACAATATTTGGGAATCTGGTCTCCAGCGAAGCCAGCCTTGATCACCCCTGAACCCTGCAAAAAAACCACAGCTGTTCAGCTCCTGCTGCAGCACAGTGTCCTGAAGAGGAGAGGGTAGCCCTGCCATGGCAGGCTGGGGAAGAAGCCACAGATCCCCCTGCAAGATCAAGCCTGTTCACAAGCATGCTCTGGGGTGTGTCTGGTGACTGGCTGCCATAGTTACTACCAGCATACACTGGTACACCAACAATCAACCAGTCTAGATGTTCAACAGTACAGACTGAGAAACTATGAATATATGTTCCAAGCCACTTTCCAAAGAGGGCCAAAAGCAACCCTCAGCATGACCCCCAACAACTCTCTCCAGACTCTAACCAAAATAGACCACCAAAGGGCCTGCCAGTGAGGTCAGTGGGAGCAGGGACAACTGGCCGCTTCTCCGGAGACTATTGGAAGAAGGAGAACTTGATGCTGCCACTGCAAGTGGGCTTGGGGTCCCAAAGAGAACTTGGTGTCTGTCTAGAAACCTCCCACTTGATGAGGGAGCCAGCCTGTCAATTGCCCTTTCCACCAATTTGCATCACAACCTTCCAGGTCCATAGTATACACACACACACACACACACACACACACACACACACACACACACACACACACACACGGGAATTCCAGAGCAGAGCATGTATGTATGTGTTTGTGCTAGAAGACAGAAGGTCCCCACAGCTGCCTCCGAACACTCAGGCTTGTAGATTAGCCTGCAAGAATGACCTGCCCACCTACAGGATGGTTCCTGTAGCCACACCTGCTCCAACAACACAGCACTTGCTGCGATTCAGCTGAGTCCACCAGGATATTTTCCAAGAAATGGCCATCAGGGACTCCATTAGGGTCAAGCGGGAGGGAGACAGCTCCCAGAAAACGCAAAAGTGAATCATTATTACAAACTCCAAGAGGAGAAACCTGACTAAGGGCAGCCTCACAGTCCCTCCCAGAGCAACCAAGGGAAGCTGAGACCCTTTGCTGAAGGACAAGGCATCTTTCCTCCCAGACTTCCCAACAACTGCCCCTCACTGCTTTTCTGTCCTGGGAAAGCAGCTCTGTGACCCAGGACCATAGCAGCCAAAGGGGCCAACCAGGCGATGACAAACCTGGGGCTTGTAGCTAGTAACTAGTCTATTTGTTGCTCCTGGGGTGCAGCCCTTTCGGGAGGTGCCCTTGAACAATGCACCTGGGCAACATCCTGGGAAAAGAAAAAGACCGGAGCAGCTGTATCACCTGCCATCAGGCACAGCCAGTTCTGGGTCGTGAAACAGATTAACAGGGCTGAGGTCGTATCCTGCCTAGCCACTGCTGTCAACGCAGAAGCGTCATGCACAGGTGCAGCGGCCTCTTGCCCGCCCCGCTGTCACTCCCGTTCGCCTGTACTTCTCCGCTCTGCTCTGCAAGCCTCTGCGCTGGGGCTCCCCGGTGCCGGCAGAGAGGCTACACCAAGGCCAAGGTTACAAGGGCCGGGCGGGCACGCGGGCCTGGGGGGCCAGTCCTAGCAGGCGGCGCGCTAGGACCAGCGGTGATGCTCCGGCGCCGCCGGTGGTGGGAGGGGGGCACGCCAGAGCTCCCGACCACCCTCCGCCCCTCCCGGCCGTCGGGTCTCACGTTATCGATGACCACCGGCTGGTTAGCGATGATGTCGTAGGACTCCATGTCCAGGCCTGGCTGGCCCTGCCCAGCAGGCAGGCTGCAGGAGGGACCAGCGTATGGTCAGGAACTCCGCGGAATGCGCTCCTCCCACCTCAGCGCGCAGCCCAGCCTACGCCTGCCCGCCGGGGCCGGCTGGAGGGCGGGCCCTGCGGCCAAGCATCGCTCCCACTGGACCCGCTGGACGGCGGACGCTACCGGACCCTGCCTAGGGAAAAGGCGCTGCCTCCGCGGGCTGGCTAGCCAATTGGAGCGGAAAGACGCCGGGGTGTTGCCAAGGTAGGCTGCATCGCGTCGAGGGTGATGTCATGGCTAGATTCTTAAAGGGGAAATGGACTGTAGGGGGTGGAACTGGGCGGGTTGGTGGGCGGGACCAAAGTCCACTTGCCTTATAGTTCTGGGCGGCGATTGCAACCTGTCCCAGTAGAAGGGAACCCACCTCAGCAGGTTACCCACGAGGATGCTGGCTGGCTCTGGCCATTTCATACAAAAAAAGCACTTTTTTTTGTTTTCTTTAAAAGAAAGAAAAGATGTATTTATCTTTTTTGTTGGACAGATTTGCAGAGAGAAGGAGGAACAAAGATCTTCCATCTGCTGATTCACTCCCCCAATGTCTGCAAGGGCCAGAGCTAAGCCAATGTTCGTATCACTGTATGAGTGTTCTAAGCAATGACTTTAATTGCTGTACCAAATGCTTAACCATCTTGGAATTTTCTGCCTAGGTAGTCAAGCCATCGGGCAGTAAAGACAGCTTTGTTCCATTATTATCTGTATGTGTTTTGATTTCTACTGCATGGAAAAACCAGAAGAACAATAGCACCAGAAGCTAGTGCTGTGATATAGTGGGTTAGGCTGTTGTGGCATCTCATATGGGCACCTGTTCAAGGCCCAGCTGCTCCACTTCCAGCCTAGCTCCCTGACAATGCACCTAGGAAAGCAGCGGAAGATGGTTCAAATGCTTGGGCCCTGCTATCCACGAGAGTCCTAGAAGAGGTTTCTGGCTCCTGTTTCAGCCTGGTCTAGCCTCAGTTGTTGTGGTCATGTAGGGAGAGACCCAGCAGATGATGGACATCTCTGCCTTTCCTCACCTCTCTCACATTCATCTATAAAAACTAAATGTTTTAAAAGAAAGGACGATGTTGAGTGCAAAGGGGCATCCTGGCCTTGGTCCCATGGATCGTATGATTTTTCTATTGCTACAATGTATTACATGGGTGTTACAAAAATGTTTATGTATTTGGAAGGCAGAGTTTGGGAGAGATATCCTCCTTCATTGGTTTACTCTTTAGATAACCGCAATGGCCAGAGCTGAGCCTTGTTGAAGTCAGGAGCCCGGAGCCTCTTCTGGGTCTTGTGTGCGTGCAGAGGCCCAAGCACCTGGTTACCTTCTGCTGCTCTCCCAGACTCAGCAACAGGGAGCTGGATGAGAGGTGGAGAAGCTGGGATCAGAGATGGCATCTATATAGGATGCTGACATTGTTGCCAGTGGCTTAAATGGCTACACCACAGCATTGGCTCCTCAGTGAGTTATATTTGAATCTTCAAAGTTGCATTCCTATTGAATCTCTCCCTCTCACCCTCTGTCTCTAAAACACACACACATTCACACTGGCTCAAACATCTTTCAAATAAATATTTTCAGGAATAGTATTGGATCTGATTTGTAAAAATTTAAGAAAAGTTGTGTCCACGTTTACCAAAGCTTTGATTTGTAGTTTTCTTTTCCTGTGGACTCTTGTTTTGGTTTGATATCCAAGTAACATTGGTCTCAGAGAAGGTGTTTAACCTAGCAGTTAAGATGCTTCTGTCCCACACTGAAATGCTTGGGTCTTCCTCCCTGGCTTCAGCTCTGCACTCTACCTTCCTGCCAAGACAGGCCCTGGAAGGCAGCAGTGATGGTTCAAGAACTAGATTCCTGCCACCCATCTGGGAGACATGGATCGTGTTTCCAGGGGCTGGCTTTGGTCCCTGTGAGCATTTGGGGAGTGAACAGTGGCTAGGAGCTCTCTCTTAGTAATAGTGCCTGTCTCTGCTTCTCAAATTCATCTGTACAAGTGTTTTTCATCAAAACAATGAAATAGGAAGAGGTGAGTATCTGATGCAGTAGTAGAGATGTTGTTTGGGATGACTGCATCCCATCACAGAGTGCCTTGGTTTAAATCCTGGCTCTCACTCCAGCCCCTCCCTGTTGGCATCCCATAGTGGCTCAAGTACTTGTGTCCATGCCTCCCACCAGGGAGACGTGCCCTGAGTTCTGGGCTGCTGGCGTAAGCTTTGTCAAGTCTTGATTGTTACAGGCATTTGTAGAGGAAATTAATGAATGGAAAAATTTCTGTTTCTTTCTCTCTAGTTTTTCATAATACTAATGCATAAATAATTTGCAAAAGTCTTGAAGTGGTAATGCTTATGGAGTACATTGAGAAGGATTTTTTCTTTCTTCCTTTATTTTTTTTTTTTTTAAAGATTGATTTGGCTGTAACTGCCAGAGCTGATCTAATCTGTAACCAGAAACCAGGAGCTTGGTCTCTCATACAGGTGCAGGGTACCAAGGCTTTGGGCCCTCCTCTGCTGCTTTGAGCTGGATGAGAATTGTAGCAGCTGGGGGCATGGATCCAGCACCCATATGGGATCCTGATGGATGCAAGGAGAGGATTTAGCCACTAAGCTATTGTGCTGGACCCGTGGTCTAGGTTTTGTTAGGTTCTTGCCTTTTACTTAAAAGCATTTTTAAGTGCAGGTACCAACATGGCATAAACAATTGGTAAAGTTTATTCAGAAGGTGAGAAACAAACTAATACAAAGAAAAAGAGGGCAAGGAGAGAAATTGATGCATTGTGTTCTAAGAGAAAAAAAAAGTTGAACCCTTCCTGAAACTGATTTTTATAGGGCTTGAGAGAGGCGTGACCAATTACAGTGCAGCCCTCCCCCTAAGTCCCAGGTAATGATGAGAACTCATGGGTGGGTGAAAAATGTTACACAGCTGGGGAAAGTCAGGCTTCCAGATTTGTGACCCTAAGCTGCCTGCCTGCCTAGTCTATGTCAATATTAGTCGCAGAGATATTCACATTATTTTTTGAATCAACTTTATTAGTTTATTTCTGTTATGGAATTTGTCCTTTTAAAAATTAATTTGAGGTGGGTCTCAGGACGGGGCATCTCATGCCTGGATCCCAGACCACAGCCACCATGTGCACGTGGTAGTGCGCCATTTGGTGCCAGGCTCTGCCTGTTGGCCGCCCGGACGGGGAGCTCTGGGGTTTTGGTTCTTTGAATCGCTGCTTAATTAGCTCCAGGTTGAACCAATTGTGCATCTAGGACCTGCAACATTTGTAAAGATTCCCACTGGCAGCAACTCTTCCTTTGTAAAACTTGTAATCACTGAACAATGCCGACCACCAAATACCAGTCCATGCAGAAGCTATGGCTTGGGGCTTGTCCTGCAAAAGTAGCTCCAACAGCTGGCTAATGTGTCAACTGGTACTGGAACAGAGTAGATCAGGCAGGACTGAGCAAACCTTAGGTCACAAGCAAAACTAGAAACCAGGAGGGAGCACAGGTCATGCCGAGCTAGGCTCTTGTACCTACTGGTCCCCATGAGCCAGGGACACGAAGCCACAGTGTCTAAGGCAGAGGTCAGGACAGGTGAGGGGCTGTGCCAAGCTGAGTCAGAGCAACCACTGGCATGCGAGTGATCTATGGCTGGGAACAGGCCCAGTTGGGGAGCTAAGGGGACAACCCTAGCTGGGCTGAGGTTCCTGGCAAGGGGTGTGTGACCTGGAATGGGGGCTGCAGTCTGATCTGGAAACGGTTGTAGTCTCCCTTGGCACAACTGTGGACTGGGATTGGATGCACCGAACAGGGCCAGACCCCAACTCCCCCTGGTGTCCTGGAGGCCCAGGGCAGATGTGCGATGGACTAGGCAAGGTCTCAAACCCCTACTGAGCCATGTGTGAGCCATATGTGGGTATGGACAAACCATGGCTGGGCTGAAACATCCAACAGCAAGAACCAAATTGGGTTGAAGGCCAGTCAGGAAAAGCCACAGTTCCTGCTATGACAGGAGGTGGACTGAGTAGGGCTGGCTCATGGACCCCCTGGTAAGCGTGAAACCTGGCATTGGGAGAGGTTCTGATGGAGGAGCCCGCGCAACTCCTCTGGCAAGACACAGACCCGGCAGGTAAGCGCAAGAAACATGATAGGAAACAGCCCAGAAAAGGCCATGGAAAGCTACACACTGGCATACAATTGGCAGGCCTTGGGGGCAAGACCAGGTTGAATCTGTCCACGTCATCCACTGGCAAAGCCAAGCACCAGTGTGGGTCGAGCCAGGTTTGGTCGCAACAAAGACTAGTGCACATTATGGAATGCCAAGGTGAGGTTGCCTGTACCGGAAGGGACTGCAGCGCCCAACCAGCATGAGAACAAGGAAGGAAGGAGGCAGAACCAGCAGGAGAATAAGGGAGGGTTCCTTTACTGGACGGCTACTCCCGCAGGAGAGCGTAGGCTGGGATAGGGGCAGACCAGACTAGGCAGGGCTACCACACCTGTGTGCCTCATGTGGACTAGATCAGGGAAAAGCCGGGCTGGGATGATTATTCCTACTGGTGCAAACAAAATTAGAGTGGGCGAGGGTTGTTTGGGCTTAGCCACAGCATCAGCTGGAATCTGGGAGTGGGAGAGGCCTGGGAGGGAAATAGTGGGCTCATCCCTCTTGGGTTACCACTTCCACAGGAGTGGAAAACTAAGACAGCGGCTGGGGTAGAATGGGGTGTGGGACAGACTGGATTACTGCTACACTTACTGGCAAACCAGGGTAGGGGCAGGCCTGGTGGGGGTTATTGTGGGTCGCTCCAACTAGGCTGCAGCTCCCACTGGTTTATGTGAGGGCCAAGTATGTGCTGGGCAGAACCAGGCTGGACTGCAACACCCATTGGTTCCAGTGGAAGTCGGGAGTGAAAACAGAACCAATCTAGCAATTGCAACCAACAGCTGATTGGAGCGATGAACTGTGCCAGGTCCTGAACTTGCTAGCACATACAAGAAGTTTCTTTGGAGATCTTCCTAATCTAA